AAGAACATAAGAGGATAGGTAGTGACAAAGGTAGTATGTGGTTGAACAGAGATGGGACTAAGCTGAGTGGGTTATGCATGTATCTGGAGAAAGTGTGCAAGGCCGAGAGAAACCATGTGAAAACCCATGACTGAAACTGGAGTTTTAGAACAACACAAACGCCTTTTTAAATAAAAGGCCAGGTAGTAAATATTTTAGACTTTGCAAGCTGAAAGTCTATTGCTACTACTCAGCTCTGCCATTATAGACATTATGTAAATGAATGAATTTGGCTGTGTTCCCATAAAATATTATTAACTAAATAGCCAGCAGGTTGGATTTGGCCCTGTGGGGCTGTAGTTGACTGACTCCTGAGGTAGAGCCTATGGACCTCATAGGTCATGGTAGGGACTGCAGATTTTGTTCTAAGGACGAGAGTTTTGAGCAATAAATTACAATCTGATGTATGTTTATAGTTTTTAAAACATGTTGGTACTTAGAGCTTCAGCATGCTGGAGAAAGATTAGAATCGCTTTCAAAGTCAGTGTTTATACCATTTTATTATTTGCTATGTTTATGTAACACATTTGTGGACATCTGATATGTGTCAGAATTGTGTCGGGAATTAAATTATTAATAGATACCTCCCTACTTTCACCAGACCCTAAATTCCTAGATCTGTCACATTTATCTTGGTAATCCCAAGGGAGTACCTAGTACTGTGCCTGGTGCATAGTAAATATTTGAAGAAATGCATATATTCCATCAAGGAGCTCATAGTATGTTGGGGAAGTTAGACAATGGGTGGTTGCAATATACCTTAATAGAGATATGTATGAAAAGCTGTGGCAACTCAGGAGAGATACCAAACCCATTTAGGAGTAATGTGGAGAACATAAATTCAGTTTTAGACATGTTGAGATTAAGTCCTAGTGGAATTTCTGGGTGAAGATGTTTGGAAAGTAGTTGGGCAATAGAGTCCTAAGGACTAAGAGAGAGCACTAGACTTGATATCAAGTTTAGAAATTCTTCAAGAGTAGCAAATAGTCAAAGCCATTAAAAAGAATTAATGTTGACAGAAATCTTGAAGACTAAAACACATACTTAGATTATACTCAGAGGGAGGGAAAGACAATGAAAAGCTAAAAATGAAGGAATGAGCAAGCACATAGAAATAGGAATGGGTAGTATCCTAGAAATCAAACGAGTAGAGTGTCAAAAGGGAAGCAGTAAACTTTCAGTTAAATATGGTGAATGGACCCATTCATAATAGATTATAAAAGGCTTAAGGAACAAGGACGAAGAGAATGGGAAAGAAGACCACAGCAGATAATAGACATAAACAAGATTTTGGAAGATGTGAAACAGTGGTAAAAGATTTGGGCTTCCACTTTCTCTTTTCTAAAGGCCTGAAGAGGGTGAAAAAAGCCAAGAAAAAGAAAGTTAAAGCTGTGGCTTAGGTATTAGAAGCACTTAGTACCTCCCAGGCAGGGCAGAAGCACGTGGTGGTGCTGAAAGCAGGATTAAAATTTGTTATAAGGAATGGTTTGAATCTCATTTTTTCTTCCTTCTGGCCATGCAGACAGACAAGTGTCTCTTTACTGGCACAAAAAGACTGAAGATTTGTTCTCTGGAGGCTAAAACAGAGAGTCTCTAGACTGGAGTATGGCTGAGGGTGGGTGTGAGCTTCTTACTGGAAAAAAAAAAAAAGGTGGAAGCAGTAAATGACAGTCTGTATACTGAATCAGAGTGCCTGTCACTGGGTTTATACTCCGCAGAAAGGCGTTTACAGTATTCTACTCCAAAGAAACTGATTAGACAAGAGAGAAAACACTGGTACTGACATTTGAAGGTCTTCCAACATACTGCCATTTGTGTGGCCCAGCAGGTAACAGGCCCTGCACATGCATATAGAACTTTGTCAGCTTTTTATTGCCAAGATCACCATACTTTTGAAGAAATTCTCATTTGAGAAAGACAGAGATCAGAACAAAAGACAAATGGAAAATGTGACTAGGGAAGAAACAGGAAAAATGTAAGAAACAGAGAAAACTTTTTTTTAAAGGTATAATTCTTCAGAAAGAGATGTTTCATGGATAAGACAAGGTAAAGATTGTATTTTTCAAAAAGAGCAAAGTGCAAGTAGAATTTTTGAAAACTGAAAAAATAACAATTTAAAAAAAAAATCAGTAGAAGGATTAGAAGAGAAAATAGAGGAAATATTCCAGAAAATATAACAAAAAGGCAAGATTTGTTTTTTTAAATAAAAGAGGGAGAATTTAAGAAAATTAGGGAATTAATCTTGGAGATTCTAACTTCTGAATAATGAGTTCCAGAGGTGGGGGAAGGGGAGAGTGGGAGAAGAGAGAGAGGGAGAAAATAGAAGAGAAGAATTTATCAGTTCAAATGAATACAAGATAATTCCCCAGAATTGAAAGATAGCTTATAAACTTAAAAAATACACTGAGTGTTGAGCACAATGTATTTTAAACATACTGAGCAAAGCAAAATAAGTAACATGTATTATTTCACTTATATGAAATATCCAGAAAAGGTAAATTCATAGAGACAGAAAGCAGATGAGTGACTGCCAGGGACTGGAGAGAGGGGGTATGGGGAGTTAGTGCCTAATGGGTATGGGTTTTCTTTTGGGTGATGAAAATGTTTTGGAACTATATAGAGATGGGGGTTGTACAACATTGTAAATGTACTAAATGCCACTGAATTGTTCATTTTAAAATGGTTATTTTATGTGAATTTCACCTCAGTGAAGGAAAAAAGTGAAGGAAAAAAGACCACACTCCAAAGAATATGAAATTTAAGAAAACCAGGCATAAAGAAAAAATTCTGAAAACTTCTAGAGAGAAACAAAGTGCCTCATACTGTGTTAGTCAGAATAAGCTAAATTATAGTATAGCAATAAATAAACCATGAAATCTTAATGGCTTAATTCAACAAACATTTGTTTCACTCATGCTAGATGTCCATGGTAGGGGAGAACACCTTGCTCCACATTGTCACTTGGGGATCTAGGTTGATGGAGTCTTTACCATCTTATGATGTTGCCATCTCAACACACAGTTTCTAGAGTTACTGCAGGGGGGGTGTGAAGAGGTATAGATTTGGTATAGGTTTCTTGGAATAGGTTTCTTTAGGTATTAAAGATTTGTTGCGATCACTCTGTCTCCTGCTCTCTCTCAAATGCTTTGATTTTTGGCTAGTGTCAGTTTAGTGGACTTTCCTCAATGCAAGGGAGTCGGGATGTACAGTGCACCCAGGTGCCCAGAAAGGACAGACAAGCCAAGTATTGCTGAGCACAAGAGTCTCTACCATGCATACTGAGGAACCAGGAGTCAGACTATCATTACACTCACCTTCGAGTTAGAACCAAGAAGATAGTGAAACAATGCTTTCAAAATTCTGAAGGAAAATTATTTCCTGTAGAATTGTATTTCTAGTCAAACTGTCAGTCACTAACATCTTCAGAGGAACAGAGTCACAAAATTTACCTTCTGTCCATCCCTTTTTGAGAAATTATCAGAGGATGTGTTATATTTAAAAAAAAAAAAAAAAGAAATAGGAAGAGGAAGATTTAGAATCTAGAAGCAGAGGATTTTGCACAGGATACAGCTCAGACTGGAGCAGGAAGATTAAAGGACTGGGGAAAGGGAGGGATGGGGATATACAATGTGATAGATTACCTGGTATATTTGATAGTATTGAGAGTTTTATTGTTCTCTGAGAACTTGGGCTGTGTTTGAGATAGATATATAAAAAATTAGTAAAACAAAACATGAGGCATTATAAACTCCAAATATACTAAATGTTGTATAAGAAGGGAAATATAATCATAGTATGACTCACACATAATAGTCAATATAAATACATGTCAAAATGTAACTCTTATGAGGATGATAATAGAATATGAAGGCTTAATCATGTATAAGAGATTTTCAATAAATAATGTGTAAAATGGAAAAAAATTAGCATATTAGAAATATAAATGTAAATACCAGAAGAAATGGCTAAAAGTTAAAAGTTGTTGCTTGTAAGAAATGGATTTCAGGAATGGAATGGAGTAGGACAGAAGACGGGTAGGATAGCTTCCACTGTACATCTTGTAGGACTAATTCCTTTTAGAATTTTCTGAATCTGTTACTTTGTCTTTTTGTTTTTGAGAAGGCAGGGACTAACAGTGCCATATACTACAAAGAGCCTATAAGAAATGAAAATTATGAAAATGAGTTATGGACTTTTGCAGACAGGAGGTTGTAATGATTTTGGAACAGTTGATGGTTGAGTGGTAGTTGTGGACCAAATTGCAGTTGGTTAAAGAGAACAAGAATAGAAAAATTAGTTCACATACTACAAAAGAATAAATTGAAGGAGACCAGCTGATTAAATAGGGGACATACAGAATAGATATATTACCCTCAGTGAAATGCAGAATATGAAAATATGACTTTAAATAAATTATAAAGTTATATTATACTTTTACAGAGAATCTCTTATGAAACAAAACAAAAATTTTTTTATTTCTTTGAATAGTTAGCTCTTCTAAAATGATTCATTTTACTGGAATATATCATGTAGGTATCTGCTGAATTGTATCAGGGAAAAGTAAACTATCGATATAACAGAATTTTTATTATTTCTTTATTTAAGTAAAATACCTTCTCAGAATTTTTAAAATTTCAACTTAATATCTTTGATTTAAAGAGGTTTACTTTGATTGTTTCTTTTGAGACTTTTGTTAAAAATTCTAGCTTTTTAAAAATAAGGTGAAATTCAATTAAAATAAAAGGCAAATTGTCTGCTCCCAGTTTTCTGCATTAATCTAATTGCTCTATCATAGTTTGAGTTCTCTTAGTTCCCCTTCCAAGTTCAATTTTTTGTTCAAGCTTGGTCATAGGAGTAATGTTATCATCTTTAAATTTGGTCATGGAATGTGTTACACTGCCCCGCTCAGGGAAAGGCTGCTTGGTTTGGGCTTGGATAGTAACGTTTATTTTCTTTGGCAGAGAAGCTGATCGTTGAGGGGCATCTAACCAAAGTGGTAGAAGAAACAAAGCTTTCAAAAGGTTTGTTTTCTGGTTTTTCTGTGGCTCTTTTAGATAATGAAGGTTAGTGTACATTTTCAAGATCATAGTATTTTAACCATTAGTTTATTTCTTACAGCTCTCAAAATGGCAATTCAGTAACAGTAGCAAATAATATGTAAAATAATTGGGCTTCTGTTTTAAAAAGGATATTGTAATTGGAAAGTTTCTTTGAAAGTTAATGCTTGGTATAAGTTTCTTTAGGTATTAAAGATTTGTTGCAATAACTCTGTGTTACTTCCAGTATTATTTCAGCTTTGATCTCAAAATATTAATTAAATACAATGTGAATTTTTTATGATACAACTTAATGTGTTTCATTTTGTGGGTTACTGTATCTTTAAAATTTATTATGATATTTAATATTAATTTTTGGCATCTGTTTGATTTAAACATAATGAATTTGTGAATGTAGAATTTTCTTGTATTTTATAATTAACAGTACAATAATTACCCAAAGTAGTTATTGAGTTATTGTCCAACTTACAGAGAAAAGTAAGTTTTAAAACATCATATTGTTGATTCACTTTTATACATAGGCAATTAAGTTAGGCAAATAAATTTGGTGGGAAGTGCTCATTATTGTAGTGGAACTTTAATGAAACTATGACAGTATAAAATTTAAAACCAGATTCACAATCCTTTTGGTTAATTAAAACAATAAGTGATAAAAGTTTGGAATACTTAATTTTAGTACATTCTGATTTATTAAAGTAGATGAATTCACTTGGCTTTTTAAAATATTTTAAAGGATGGTATTATTTCAAATGTCTGATGTTGGCTTACATTCTGAATTTCATGCACGGCAGATACCATATTTGGGGAAAGAATGCATAGAATATGCATCACTAATATTGTTCTGGCAAACAGGCATTGAGTTTCAGAACAGTGACTTATTTTTAGCACAGATGGCAATTTACTTCATCTTATTAAAGTGAGATGAGAACAGACTTTAAAATAGCTTTTACTTCACCACCTAAATACCTATTCAGATTAGTTGGTTGAATAGCTAGTACTTTGATAGGGAAGGTAGAGCCTTAGGGAAAAAAAAAATCAGTGCTGCTGCTTTATTTAGAGAAAATAATCTTGCTACCTTAGTGCTTCTATTTTAATGCATTCTGAATTAGAATGTATTTGCTTGAAATTATATGGTGTCATTATTGGAAAAGATTTGTGCAATATTACCGACTTTCTTTTTAAACCTGGCTATAAAATATATATTGAAAGTTTTAAAGAACATGCTTTTTGATCCAGCAATTCCACTTAGGGGTTTTTATCTTAAGGAACAAATTGGACAAATGTACAAGGGTGTTTTGTTTCAGTGTTGTTTCAAAAGCAACAAGAGGAAAACACAAATGTCCAATAATAGAGGTATTTATTATATAAGTTATGGCAAATAAGTCCATGTAAGTGAATAAAATCCATCCTTTGAGAGTGATAATACTGGTTTTATATACCCAGGGACTTTTCTATCTTTAGTCAGCATTTTACTAATACTTCCCATAGTTAACATGCAAAGTATGCTAATCCTTGTAATAAACTAGATGGCTGAAATAAATTACATTTTAGATGTTTTAAATCTGGCTATAAAGTATTTTCTTTTGGTTTGGCTAAATTATCTTTTTTTAAGTGCTTTCATTGGTGATGTTTTTGGTGGAATTTTCTTTCTTTGCATTAAAAATATCAGTTGCCTGAAATTGAGAATTATCAGCTGACACCAGTCTTAGTAGTCTTAGTATTTCCACTACAGGTTTCATCTAATTCAAAATGTAATCATAAATGGCATATGCTTTCTGTTTAAGCCCTAACTTAACTTGCAGTCATTACATGTCTACAATAGTTTGGGGAGTGAGAGTAGAAAGAATATATAACCAGTAAGAGATTTACCATTTGTCTGATGTGAAAAAAAAAAAAAAGAATATGAGTAGGTAATTCTACCACTAATTAGCTATGTGTCCTCAGGCAAGTTACTTCACCTCTTTAAACCTCAGTTTCCTCATTTGTAAAATGAGATTGACAAAATGTAACTTGTAGGGTTACTGTGGGAATTTAATGAAATACTGCTTATAAAGCAGGAAGCACCTTATGTTCTCATGTTCAAATGTTAGTTCTTTCCCCTTCTTGATCCTTAACTTTGCTTTCTTTCCAAGTAATGGTTCCAGTAGTATAAGAAATGGTCTATGGACAGTATGTTTGTTTGGCCCATCCATAGTTATGTCTACTCGAAGATATAGTGAAATAGTTACCTTGTTGTAGGCTTCCCAGTTTGGAAACAATTTTAGTATTAATATTGGTAGCTATTCTTTCATTTCCTTTTATGAGGGTACTTCAAAAAGTTTATGGAACTTTTGGAATTAAATGGTATGGAATGGAATTAAACTGTAATATGAATCTTTCCATGAACTTTTTGAGGACCCCTCATATATACTATTGATATGTATCTTAATGATTAAGTACTGCAGAGAAAATCAATTGGTAATGAATTTTTAGTACTAGAAAGTCAGGTGCTGCTTCATAACTGAACAATAGATGTTTTGAAAAAAAGGAGATACTCTACCATTTATTTGTTGTGTCCTGTGTCTCATTCTTGAATAGATTTGGTTTGCCTTCATATAATAACTGTAGTATCAGAACACAACAATGATGGATCACAACTGGACTTGCTAAAAAAAACTTGCCTTCTAATTCTAAGTAGATGTGCACCTTCAATTAATTTTTTATCTTTTGAGTACCTGTTATGTACTAGGCACTGTTCTGTGCACTGGGAGTGTAGCAGGTAATGAAATAGACAAAACTCCCTGTTCTCATAGAGCTTACATTCTAGTGAGATGTTGATGGAAGATTTGGCTCCATCTTTAAGGCAGTTTTAGCTTCGTGGCTAATACTCTAAATATAGAATAAAAGTTCCTTTTAAGCCAGAAGAATACTTTTGAAAATACACTCCTCTTTCTTTACTTCAATATCTTGATTATAAAATTGCCAAAAATATTAAAATTTTAATATTTAGGGAGAGTCATTTTTCTGTTTTGCTTTTTGTTCCACCAGAGTGGTTCTTTTTCTATCCATATTTAGAGATTAGATGTATTTTCCTGTTTTATTTGAGACTGTAAGTTTGTGATCAAAACTAGAACATTCAGAAATGTCTGATTATAGCACACTATGAATGTTACAGAGGTCACAGATTAGATTCCCATGGGCCTCCATGGTCAGTGACTTCACTTCTAATCTAAGCTTCCAGTCTCTCAGAAGTTAGCCTTTGACTACAAATGGCAGTCAGAAAAGAAGCAAAAGACTTCTTTCAATTCATCACCCATTTCATGAGTTAAACCACAAATTCTAGAAATATTCTTATATGCAATAGCTTCAACAAGTTATATATATATTTTTAATTTTTATTATTATTAGCATATTCTTACAAATTGTGATAATTCTTATGCCCTTTACCCAACCTACAAACCCCTCCTTCCCCCCCACCCCACCATCTATAATATACTTAGGTTTCTCTCCTTCTGAAAGTTCAGTGTATTGTTGTGGTCTTTTCTTTCCTTCATTCCTTCTTTCCTCCCTCCCTCTGCCTCTCCCTCCTTTCCTAGCAGCCAGTTATGAGTGAGAACATGTGGTGTTTCTCTTTCTTTGTCTGGCTTATTTCACTTAACATAATTTTCTCCAGACTCATGCATGTTGCTGCAAATGACATAATTTCATTCTTTTTAATGGCTGAGTAATATTCTATTGTGTATATATATATATATATACACATCATTTTCCTTATCTAGGCGTCCGTTGATGGACAATTGGGTTGGTTCCATATTTTGGCTGTTGTAAATAGAGCTGCAATGAACATGGGAGTGTATGTATCCCTTTGACATGATGATTTCCATTCCTTTGGATATATACCCAGGAGTGGGATTGCTGAATCATATGGTATTTCTATCTGTAGTTGTTTGAGGAACCTCCATACTGTTTTCCATAGTGGCTGTGTTAATTTACAGTCCCACCAACAGTTTAGAAGAGTTACTCCTTCCCCGCATCCTCACCAGCCTTTGTTATTCTGTCTTTTTAATAATGAACAGTATAACTGGAGTGAGATGATATCTCAGTGTGGTTTTGATTTGCATTCCTCTGATGATTAGTGCTGCTGCGCATTTTTTCATGTCCCTGTTGGCCATTTGTATATCTTCTTTTGAAAAATGTCTGTTCATCTCCTTTGCCCATTTTTTAATTGAATTATTTGTTTTTTTACTGTATAGTTTGAGTTCTTTGTATATTCTGGATACTAATCCCTTGCCAGATGTATAGTTTGAAACAAGTTATATTATAATATATCAAATATTTTAACAGTAATGGTTTTAGATATGGTTCCAATTTCATTCAAAATGGGAAAATCTCATAACTTAGTTGATTATAAAACAATATATATTCATTACAAAATTTTCAAACAACATATGACTATGTGAAGTTAGATAATGAAAGTCTGGCATGTTCCTATCTTCAGAAATAAATATTGATATCTCTGTTGTAGATCCTTTCAGACCTTGAATAAATATAAGCAACTAAAAATTTATAGCTAAATGTATAATTATTTTTGGTCTGCATGTGGTCATATTATACATAGTGCTCTTTAAAGACTTAATTTTTACTTAATAGTAGTAAGAATATCTTGAATATTTTCCATTTCATAATATATACATTTAATTTTCCCATAATGAACAGTGCTGCAGTGAGCATCCTTATGTATACCACATATAGTCTATTATTCCTTAGGTAAGGTACTAGAAATGGATATGCACATTTCTTTTTCTTTTTTTTTTCTAAAAGATGACTGGTAAGGGATCTTAACCCTTGACTTGGTGTTGTCAGCACCACGCTCTCCCAAGTGAGCTAACCAGCCATCCCTATATGGGATCCGAACCTGTGGCCTTGGTGTTATCAGCACCACACTCTCCCGAGTGAGCCACGGGCCGGCCCGGATATGCACATTTCAAGTTTTGATACATATTGCCACAAACAGTAAAGTCACATGCATGACATTATAAAAAATAATCATATGCTTAGTGAATTCATAATCTCACTAAGGAAATAAGATATATACACACAGAGAGAATGATATAGAGCATGATTTATTGCAAAATAAATAAGAGAAAATGCTATAAAAAGGAGCAACAAGCTGGAGAAATAAAGACTTCCTTAGAGGTGATGGGGCTTAAGCTGTATCTTACAGAGTGAATAGACAAAGGATAGAGAATGGCCGTTGAGGTTAGGGAAATATCAACTCAAGCAAAGAATTTCAGGCCATAATGAGCTGGCATGCCCCAAGCCTCATGAAAAGCTGGCATGACTGAAGTAGAGCTCCTATGGGAATTAATGCAGAGATCAGATTATGGCTAAATTCTGCCATGTAAAACTTGGCTGAGACCTTGTAAGAGAATGGGGAGATGCTGTAGGATTTTGGTCAGAGAAATAACCTTCTCTGTAAATGCTATCCTAAAGAATGCCATAGTATTTACAGATGTGACCTTACCAATGAAGATCTGGGACTAATTAATTCCCAGTCATCATTAATAAACCGGTAGGCCTATACTTAGGATTTTTAAGGGCAATTAATTGAAAACTATGCCTAGGATGTCTACATTGGATAAGGCAGAACACCTCCTGCAAATAATTTCAAAACTTTTCGGAAAGTTTTTTTCTCAGTGTGTTTAGGTACAGTTATATTTTCTTTGTTTATTTTATTTTTGGCAGCTGGCCAATATGGGGATCCAAACCCTTGACCTTGGTGCTTGGTGTTATCAGCACCACACTCTAGTCAAGTGAGCTAACTGGCCAGCCCAACAGTTATATTTTCTTTAGAAACGAGAGCTGTTAATTTTCCTATTTTAAATGGTGCTTTTATAACAAATAATTGTTATTTTTTAAATAGTTTTATTATATGAATAGAAGTATTACTAAGGTAGCCTACTAGCTAGTGTTTTTCTGTAATAGAGCCTTTTCTTTCATCATCTTCATACAATGTCCACATTGTCCTGGGAATTTTGCTATATTTGTGGCAGTTCTCTGAATACTTTAGCAAAGCTTGCTTCATTTTTGTTTCCAGTTGGCAAGTGGACAGCCTTGAACAAAAGCCCCAGCCCTCTGTACAGCAGACATGATCCACATTATAATTTAATATGAGCTACGTGTAACAACCAGCATTCCATTTTGGACAAGGGTGGTGAAGAAGTAAGAGATTCAGTGACCTCAGTTAATTTTAAAAGTGTTTTTGCTTACCAGTAGATTTTGAGCATTCATAGCCTGAAGCAGTCTTATTGGTATAAGATATTAAATTGTAATGCAAATTTACTTTAATTTTTTTCATGATAGAAAACCAGGCAAAAGCAAAGGAATCTGATTTATCAGATACTCTGAGTCCAAGCAAGGAAAAAAGCAGTGACGATACTACAGGTGAGTTTTAACCTAATGTCTACAAATCTGCAGATGTTATTGGCAGTTTGGGTATATAGGTTGATGTGGGTGGAGATTTAAAAGTTTGTATTTGGGGAAAAAGCAATACTCCCATTTATTGACAATCCCTTAAATCTTAGATATTTTTTAAAAACTACTTTTAAGTATCCAAAAGTACAATAGCTGTATAAATTCCAATTATTTATTTTGATAAAGATAGCTTGCTAATAGGTCTGAGTACTGTCTGTAATTATCTTTATTTTCCCCTTCCGTAGACGCCCAAATGGATGAGCAAGACCTAAATGAACCTTTTGCTAAAGTGTCTCTATTAAAAGGTACCTTAACATGTTTTAATTACATTTTAAACCAGGGCATCAGATTCACCCTTTGTCACAAAATCTGTCCCATGTATTATGTAAAGTTTTATGTTTTAGTTAGCAGATTAAGATAGGTTCTGTAAAGTAGCAGGAACTGAAATATGAAGTGTTGGTGGGTACCCTGTGCTTCAAACAAAAATATTTAAATTGCGGAATAATTTGGATCAATCCAGATTACGAAGGACTAAATGGTAAGCAGTAGAATATGAAATGTAGCTGTGTTGTTTACACTTTTAACTTAATTAGGATAAGGTGAAAATGTTAACAGAGTAAACAGGCAACTTTTTCAAGAAAGTTATCATATAGTAGCAGTTGTAAATTTCCTTCTAGAAATTTTGGGCTGAGAAATTTTAGGTGGGGCCTAAGATAAGCAATGCTTGTAATGAACTCTTTTACTTATCTCACCTCTAAATAGAAACTACATTTATTTCTTGTTATTTTCTTGTTTAGAATAAAGTGGGTAGGAAATAAGTCAGCAAATAACTGGCTGGTTAGCTCAGTTGGTTAGAGTATGGTGCTGTTAACACCAGAGTCCAGGGTTCAATTCCTGTACTGGCCAGCTGCAAAAAATAAATAAATAAATAAATAACGTTAAGTATTAAAGTGTTTTTAAAATAAAGTGCCGTGGTGATAAAGCTTGTTGATAAATTTGTGATTGTCAGCATTTAATCTCTTTTGTTTGCCTTATTGTACACAAGAAAAGTTGACGTATAAATTCAGACCAGTGGATTAAACATGTTGGTAGTGGTGAACTGACACTAAGCAATTCTCTGTAATCAGAGAAACAGTAGCAGTCTGTGGAAGTTTCTCTTTGTAGACGAGCATATTGTTCTGGCTGGGCTATTAAGGGGTCTCCCAGTCCAGTCCCTGAGCTTTGGGATTATATAAGGAAGGAGGCCCTATTTTCGCCCTGTATGACCCTCCTGCTTGCCTAGTTGTACAGCGATGGGGGATGGGGAGAGATTACTCAGATTCTGTCAGGCCTTTGTAGACGAGCATATTGTTCTGGCTGGGCTATTAAGGGGTCTCCCAGTCCAGTCCCTGAACTTTGGGATTATATAAGGAAGGAGGCCCTATTTTCGCCCTGTATGACCCTGCTGCTTGCCTAGTTGTACAGCGATGGGGGATGGGGAGAGATTACTCAGATTCTGTCAGGCTTCTTTAGTGTGAACATCCTGGCTTTCTGTTTTCCTCCCAATGGATACTGAAAATTGCATGGCTCTTTGAGCCAACTTTGATTGAGTTCCATAATTAGGGAGTTCCTGAGGATTGCTGGTCCAGGCAGCCAGTTGCCAATTTGTCCTTAAGTGTGATCGTAGTTTCCAGCACTCTTACTGGTCTGTACTCTTCTTAGGTGACCTTTGGTGTTGATAAGGCATGCTTTTTTCTAGTGTCATAATAATAAATATAAGTTAATATTTGTACAGTTCAGAAATCTCATTCTCCCAGAAATACAATACCATTATTGTATAAAATATTACTATACTGAAGAAATGACACAACATGTGAGCCGTTATGGGAACATAGAGAAACAAGAAGGGAGGTGAATGAGTGATGAACATCCCTTGTAAAAAGTAGCTGTTCTTATGATCTTTTATACTACAGAAATCCCCAGAAATCTTTTCAGCAGCCAAGTTCAGATTGACTTATAAGTAGCATTTATGATTGTGTTAATTGTATTCAAATATTATTAGTGCTTTTGTGATTTTATTTGTCTGTTTTAGATTTGATTTTTATCCCATTACGTACCTCAATGCCAGGTATTCAGTAAAACTCAGATATTTGATGAATGAATTAATAATAGACTTTTTACATCAAAGTTGTAAAGCCACAAGAGCATTAGGAAAATAACACTCTAGCTACAAAGCTAAGAGTCAAAGATCTCTGGGTTTTATCTTACCTTTGCTATTTATTTGTAATATGTCCTTGGGCAAATTGCTTAACCCCTCTGTGCTTCAGGGTTTTTTTTCATTTATTAGATTGGGGAAAACCAACTTCATAGATTATTGTGATTAAATGAAACAATGCATGTGGACCATTTACTATGGTGTTGAGAACATAACCTGTTAACCACTATAATGAAGATGCTGATAATGATGATGATGATTGATAAAAGCAGACCTATTTGTTAAGAACTCTGAGCAACTCTTCATTAATTGAATAAAATTGTGGGGTTTAAAAACATTGCCTACTTTATTTTTTAGGAAACAGCAGTTTTGGGTGATGGATCTTTTTCAATTAATAATGCATTTATGTGTGTGTTTGTTACTTTGCCAGATGTCAGGAAATTTTTTTTTTTTTGTCTTTTGTCTTTTTCCGTGTCTGGCAACGGATCGCAACCCTCAGTGTTGCCCCCGTACCGGACCGGGGACCGGCAACGGGAT